ATATTTGGCTAGATCAAACATCATGCAAAAGTGCTCACCTGTTTGGATCCTGTTCACTAAGAGGCGGTGTGAGAGGGAAGAGAGGATCTCCCAAGTTGATTCCCTGACTCCCAAGTGGCGTGGCAGTGACATCCTTCAACATGGCTTCTTCGTGGGTCATAAAAGTTGGGTATCCTGGATGGGAGCAAGAGGTGGTCACGGAAACATCATTGCTTGCTTCGGTCAAAGGGGGAGAAACAGGCATTGGCTGGAAAATGTTGCTTGGGAGGTGATCCAGGGAAGAAGGGTGGTAGTTTCTGGTGTCTGCTAGAATGGAGTTCCATTCATTGGTGGTGACCATGTGGCAATCTTCAGCATGAGAACTGTGTCCAACGGAAAGAGCATCATCAGGAGTGCAGGGCTGGGTCCCATTCTGGCCACAGGTATCATTATCATATGCGGCAAAGTCCACAAGGGAAGAATAATGACTGAAGTCATGTGCGTGCGAGAAATCCAGGTCATTATGGTCCCCAATATCCTGGAAATCGGATCCTGACTGGTAGATAACATCGCTTGGTCCCACGGTGGTAGGCAAAAGCTGCTGAGACAAAGAGAAAGAAAGCAGTTGCACCTCAGGTGTTTCTGGTTTGCTCGATGACATAACACTGTGGTCAAATGCATCGGCATCATGCAAAGCCCATTTCAGGTCGTGAGGGGTTCCATGGCCATGATGTGTACTGGAGCACAACGAGAAGTTATCCTGGCTTGAGAGTTCATCATCCTGGATCATTCTGGGGGCCGTATTTGAGATTCCTTGGGTTTGCCTGGTCTGAGAGATCTGGTCCATGTTTTGCAAAGCTGACTGGGACAGAGAAACCCGCTCGGGGTCATTCTTGACACTGCAAGACATTGGGTTTTATAGGTCCAGCTATGACTGGAAAGCAATCAAAGACAAGCACTAGACTGAAAGACAACTGAAGTCAGTAATCCACCTTCATTCACGAACGTTATAGTATAACACATTGCATATAAATAGAAATCGAGAGTCCATCCTAAAGATCCAGTCGATGTCCTGAAGCGCCAGTTTAGCTCTTTTGCAGACGTTGCTGGGAAGTTGGCCGTAAAAAAAAGGTCAAAACAGGGGCACCTGGAAAGAGTCGATGGCGAGTCCACTTTAGACGAAAGTCGTCGTTCCGGCGTGATGATCATGGTCACTGAGATGAGAGAAAAGGTCGACAGATGTAGAGTCAAGGGAACGACGTTTAGCTAATGCTACACGTCGTCGGATCTATCCTGCGGGAGGCCTGTTCATGTCGGTGATGTTATCCAGAGGAAGTCTTGGATGAGACTACAATGAATTGAGAGCGGGTAAATCCAGGATTCAGGTGAAGTGATGGTCCCATGAAGGTCGACTCTCAAGAGTATGTGATTCCTTAGGCACTATTCAGAGATTCAGAGATCCAGAGGTCCAAAGAACGGAGTTCATAGAAGCATTATTTCAAGTTATCCCAGGCAGGTAAGGCAAAAGTCCAGTGAAGTTCTCCAAGGCAGAGATGTGAAGGTCCCAAGGTAAGCTTAAAATCCTAGTCTCGCTCCAGGATTGAAGTGAGAAGTCCTTAGCAGGGCAAAGAAAAACGACGGAAGTCCATGGCAAAGTGACGTGCAAGTGTGCAACATTAAGCAACACTTGTGTGTCCAGTCTGACAGCGGCTGCTGTAGACGTTTGTAGTCCAGTGGAGTCATTATTCAAGAGACTGTCATGTGACAGTGAAATCCAGCAGGGAAACTAAAGTCCGGGAGTCCAGGGAGCCAAGTCGGGCGAGGTATGTAGTTGTGAAAGCGGTCCAGATTTGTCGCACAGTGGCCAGGTCAAAGGGAAGAAAAGGAAAAGGAAATAAAGAAAAGGGAAAGAGAAGGAAACAATCGAGGGGTCTACCTGTTATCTGTCGATGATTTGTTCAGACGAAAGCCTGGGAGTATGGACAAAAACAGAAACAACAGTCAAAGCAGATCCTATCCGGGCGGTGGTATGTATTCCAAAAGGCAGTCTGGGTTGTTTGAAGCCAGGGTAATGGTTTTCTTCTTTCCAAGATCCAGGGTTTGGAAGCTTGCGCAGTATCGGAGAGAAGAACGAAAACGAGAACAATTAAGCCTTCAAAGCGAGATTGGCAGTATTGTATGAACTAGGTAGCTGATTTAAGAGTCGATTTGACAGCGAATCAGAGAAGAGAGATGCAGTCTCTTGAAAGCCTAGGGTATCAAAATGGAAGTCGGCTGCCAGGTCTGAAGCTGGAGATGAGAATGGTGAGATCAGAAAAGAGAAGATCAAGAAGATTTGGCTTGAGGGGGGATCAACGGCCTTTTTAGACCTCGTCCCATTCAGGACTCAGGAGGCGCAATTAGGAGAGGGGCAAGCAAAGTGGGCAACAGCAACGAAAAGACCGTCCAAGCGTGAGGCCGGCCTGGGATCCTGCAGCAGCCAACTGCCTCACTGGCACTATCGAGGCCGGTGATTCGATCCTGCAAGAAGAGGATGGTGATTTCGGATGCAGCTGGCGCAGCGCCAAGTGGTGACGACGGTGGTGCCATCTGCCAATAGTTCCCCCTTTCGACTGTCAATCATTACAGTTTTTGACGTGGCAGAGACACTCGCGTCTCCAAAAGTGGATGTATCATATTTTTTTTCTCGTTCAATCGTCGTTATTTCGGAGTAATTTTGGAACTTTTATTACTGGGATATTCGGAAGTTCAATATGTAGCGGTGAAGCGGAAGTTTAAAAGACGTGCTCCATTTGCGATGGCTGTTTCTATTGGCCATGTACCACTCTCAGGGCTGCAGACTTGCATCATCCGTCGGTTCCTTCTCGAACAAACATGACGCACTACGGTGTCGATTGGATGAGAGCGTCTCCCGCCTTTCATCTCGTGCAGGGTGAGAGATTGCGGGAGCCTTCCAAGATTTCCCTCAGCCTGCCACATATGGAGCAAAAGATCCTAGAATTAATATAATGCGACTCATGCGAGAGGGAGAGTCAGACACAGCGACAAGGTCACAAGCCCACAAGGGAGAGGATACGGCATTGTGGATAGTCGCTGATACCGTCCCTGATCAGCCCACAGCCAGTGAACGGTGGCTGATGGAACACGCCGATCAGCCATGATGACTATCGGCTGCCCCTTTGTGCCCCGCTTTCCCTCGTGAACATCGCCAAAATGTCAGAAACTCATCGTTTGGATGAGACGGCAACACGTCAAATTCTCCTACGCATCGGGGAACTAGGATAACTATCTTCCACTGCAGGTAACCAGGGGATAGTTGGCAGTTTCACCCCTCATGCAGCCTCACTATGTGCAGTCATTTGCTGCTGAAGCTGCTCAGCCTGCAAAGAAACATCAAAACCGCTGTCAGAGAGCGCAAACAGGATATTGGAAGGGTGAGCAGAGTGCATTTATCTACGACCGTGCATCGTCAGATTAGAGAATCCACATCCTACTGGTTTGGGCTGCAGCGTAGTCGGTCCAGGTTGGGCAGCAATGCATGAGACTGGAGTCGGAGGGAGCCTAGCCCTTCATTTGTATCTACAATTTTTATTTTCGCACCTGTTGACGAGGATTATTAGCAACTCATCAAAAATAAATTCTCTCTTGAGAAACATGAACAGTATGAGCAGCGCAGACGGGAGATTTATCAGATAGGGGTGAAAGATGGTAGAAGGTTGTCGTTCAGCAATCCGAAGATTTCAGTTGAACTATGCTTATTGGTAATGGTGATCATCATGTGATGGACACAACAGGTCCTCGCATCATCCCGTCCAGCTCAAATTGAGTGCGAACATAGTGGGGCACTTTCGAGACAATTCTCATGGAAAGGATAATTGGTTTATTGAAAAATGGAAAAAAGCGCTTACCTTGTCATTTTGACGCTGAGTCGTCAGAAGGCACGCACCGATTTTCTGAGCAGTGTAAGTATAAACGATTGTGCCTGCATCTTTGCACAGGCAGAGTAGCTATAGTGCAATCTTGTCGCCATCCATTGGGCTGGTAGATGCCACAAGCGTGCAGAAATTGTTGAGATTGATTTGGACCATGTACGGAGTAAGAAGGGAACGAACTTCGCTCTGTGCGAAGACTCGGTTTTGAGAAGCGAGTTATCACGTGATAATTTGCACTGTTTGCTTAGCCCTCTATTAGTTAATCTGGACCTCTTCGTAAATAACCACTGTAGAACTCGGTGGCTTTGCGTGACCTTGGTTCTCGTACTGTTCAAAACCGTCTCCCGGGACGGCCCGCTCCCTTCAGAGGATTTTTTTGGGTGAGCCCGGCGAAGACGGAAACCTACGGAAATACCCTTGGGAAGCCCTTCAGAAAGCTTAACGGCGTAGATAAGACCTTTTGTTCATACAACGATACATGCCCAATAGACAGAGTCAGATATCAACTTCACCTCCAGCTCAACGTCTGTACTGGCGATAGAGACTTTCATGCACGTAATAGCCTAACCATTCATCTGGGACCAACGACGACTGCCCGTGAGCTTCAAGGCCCCTTACTTGGTGCTCAAATTCTCGTCATGAAAGTCGCGATGGATCAACTCCGTTTAGCTCCCGCTTCGCTGCAAGTCATTTGGGCAACAATTGCACCGAAGCAGACAGTACACTTCTGACTTGCACGATTGCACATGGCCATGACACGCAGCTGCTACAACAGTCCCGCGATGTCACTGCCATTTGGGGACTATGTCCACTTAGACGTCCACCATACGGAGTAGAGTTTTTGCGATTTGCGTCTTTGGACTATATACAGTCTGCTCGTACCAGTTAGCTGCCATTATTACTGTCTACCGCATACTTGAATACGATCAGTCTGGCAAAATGGTATTGGAAACTTTAATGAGGAATGTTGAACTGCGTTCCGCTATCACATGACGGTCTGGAGATTTGGTACGGCCTCAGAGCACCTATCCAGAGTCTCTACAATTATCTCTGGACTGTCGTCTGCTCATCTACTTGCCACATATTGCAATGAACTGGACAGGGGGTCGCTTGCAACGGCATTCGAACAATCGCTCCAGCAATCTTGCTAGAAATCAAAAGCAGAAGTTTGCAAAATCAAGACGGAGAAGCGTAAAAGATTATCGACAGGCTCCATCGCTCATTGAATTTGTCACTTTTGGCACATCGCTTCAGCCAAAGTCCACTGGCGACGAGGCTCAAAGGCATGGATTGGCTAGTCAGGTACGATTCTTGCCCTTCGAACCCGACGATTTTCTGGCTCCATAACGGGTGAGAGAATGTCCATCCTCCGGATCTGCAGCTAAACTGTGTGTTTCATATAGGCTACGGTTAATTCCTCACTGTCACGGCTAGCTAGGGATCCCTCAATCTGTTCTGAGCAAGTGAATAACTCACAGCCGCCCGATCGCATAGAACATATCAAGCGTCAATTACTAGAAACAACAGACTGGGCTGCTGTCGGAGCTGCGCGGCCTCTCAGGATCTCATTCACACCAGTCGAAGAGTTCGAGCACTTTGGCAAAAGACGAAGATTAACTGAGGCTGACCGAACGAGATTAGCTACCATGGAACACAGGGCTGTGCCATCTGAGCTTAACAAGTCTCGCAGGGCTCCTCGACAGGATATATCGTCGGATCGACTTGGAATCGAAGGTTTAGAGATTAAGATCAATGGATGGCTGTGCCATGCTCGCGGAGACATTCCCAAAAAGCGTCACGAGAACTTCTCCTCACAACCAATGCTCCTTGATAGAGAGGTATCAGGCGGCCCCGATCAAGGCAGGGATCCGTCAGCGCAGCCATACAGTGATGCCAAGGCGAGCGTAAGGGAAGACTCGGATAACAAACCACTATATTGTCAGAAGGAATCAGGAGATCATAAGTCGTCTACGCATTCTGTTATCACCCCACGATCTCGTCTCTCAGAATCTGTCATTACCAATCCGATAGCATCCAGCAGGAACGACAGTGGACTGATCCAGACACCCGAGTTTCTGGGTCAGGATTTTGGACCGTCAACCTCGACGTCCTTGAGGTACCATGACAGCAACCGAGTCCATCACTCATCCGGGTCAATCATCCAAAATCACTTCACGATTGACGATCAGATAGCTGCCGAGAAGGAAAGATGCTTGAATGCTGGGATAATGGTAAGGACATTTCCAGACCGCCATCGAGGCCCGCAGCCTGAACAGGGGTCTTTTTCATATCCACCCTGCCTCGATCAATCATTCGGTCATCATGAGCATGAACGTGCGGCGGCAGCCACGCAGTCACCATCTGGATGGCTTCCCGAGCCAAGGTGCAGTATACGACGTCCATTGAGCCAGAAAGCCAAATCCCTTCTTCCATTCGGGTCAGTTATTCGGAAAGACACTGCCTGTGGAAAATCACGGATTGGACAGTATATATCACCGATGGTGATATTCGGGCAACCTATAGATGTTGCAGCGGATCAAGCAAGTGATGGGACAACAAACTGGATGTCGATTCCGAGGAACTCTGCAGTCAAGGAGCCGGAAATCACATCGTTAACTGACAGTCTCGCAACATCGATCTATGAATTTGCCAGCCAAAGTCCAGACAATCGGACGGACACCCTAGGCTCCTCACGGGTCAGTCATATAGGTATTGAGCATAATGAACCAGCCAATATAATTGACAGAATTTACACTGGAACTCCAATCTTTAGCAACAGCAACCCTGGATCCGTGCGCAGCTTCTCTGTAGCCCGTGCTGACAGAAATGCAACCCCAACCACCTCGGGGCGTTATCCAGAATTCGAAAGTTGTACTCCGGAACACAATGAACAAGGAGCTCAAATGGAACCATCGCCCCAAATATTCGGGCAAGAAATGACAGATATTGCCGCACAGACTTTACTCACCTCATCCTCGCCTGATCCTCTGTTGTTATACGGAGATCTCTGATATACATATATATATCCTAGAACAGTTGGGTGACTTGAACAATGCGACACAGCACCTACTGTTGTGAAACAGACCACATACTATAGAAATATATCATAGAATCAGTTAAAACAGGGTAATCGAATTGAGCCTAGTTACCTTGTAGAAAAGACGAGAAATAGCTGGTCACATGCGCGATGTATTTGCCCTGCGGTCCTGCCCTACTTTCCCTTTTTCGGATGATAAGACCGTAACGTGACCGATAACGAACAGCTTCCATTGCTGCCTCAGCTTCCAACCACCTCATACCTGCATTGACAGTCCAACATCACACTGCGCTCTTTTATCAAGAAATTATAGGCAAAACATTACTGCATCAAACCGAGAACACATACCCACATACCCATGCACTACCTAACCAGCCTCCTCCCCCTCACCCTCCCCATCCTCTCCGCAGCATCCCCGCTCCGCCCCCATGAAACAGAACTCACCCCTCTCCCCCTAATAATCTGGCACGGCCTCGGCGACGACTTCCAGCGCGATGGCATGAAAGAAGTTGCCGCGCTTGCCGAGTCCACAAACCCCGGAACCTACGTGCACCTCATCCACCTCGGCGACACCGCCAGCGCCGACCGCCAGGCCACCTTCCTCGGCAACATTACCGAGCAAATCGCCCTCGTCTGCAGCCAGCTCCGCGCGGACCCGATCCTCTCGACCGCCCCGGCCGTCAACGCGCTAGGCTTCTCGCAAGGCGGCCAGTTCCTGCGCGGGTACGTCGAGCGCTGCAATGACCCGCCCGTCCGCAACCTCGTCACCTTTGGCAGCCAGCACAACGGGATCGCCGAGTTTCAGGAGTGCGCGTGGAGCGACTGGATCTGCCGGGGCGCCGAGGCGCTGCTGCGTGCGGGCCGGTGGTCGAGTCTCGCGCAGTCGCGGTTCGTGCCTGCGCAGTACTTCCGCGATCCGGAGGAGCTGGACGCGTACCTCGAGCACAGCAATTTCCTTGCGGACATCAATAACGAACGCGTTCTGAAGAATGAGAGATACGCTGAGAACCTGCGGGGGTTGAATCGCTTTGCGATGTACATGTTTGAGGATGATACTATGGTGAATCCGAAGGAAAGTGCGTGGTTTGCGGAGGTGAACAGGACGACGGGCGAGGTGACGCCGCTTAACCAGAGGCGGTTGTATAAGGAGGATTGGCTGGGGTTGAAGGCGCTGGATGAACAGGGAAAGCTGGACTATAGGACTGTTCCGGGTGGTCACATGCAGCTAGCCGAGGAGACCCTGGAGAAGGTCTTCAAGGAGTATTTTGGGCCAGTCGAGGTGGAACTTCCTCCGGATAATGCCCTACTCAAGCAGACTGGCTTGTAGACTGAGCGGGTTTACTAAATGCTCGGTTGATTGTCTACCCTCTGTGTTGGAATAACCGCGTTGACGGGGCTGTGAAGCATCGATGTTTGTAGTTATATATACCCAGACTTCCCTGACAGTTGCTCACTTACATCATTCAGAAGCCTTGCAAATATGTATATTTCCCAATAAATCTACGTACATACAAGATACCATTTCCCGCCTATTCACATGAAACAATAAATGGGCCGGCTGAGCTACCCAACCATGGTGTGTTCTGTGATCCGGCACTGAAAGAACAAGGAGAAGAGAAAAAGTAACGGGGTACTCGGAGCTAGCAAACTCTATGAGCAGATGTCGATACAAGATACACGAATGTGCCATAACGGAGCCAAGACAGACAAGAGAAATCGCCTAGTAGATCAAAAAAGGGTCAGAAGAGAAAGTTTTGGAGAAAGGAGGTGCTATGGCAATGCAGTTCGGAGAATCAGAGAAAGGTATAAGATTATATGCATGCTAGTCGGCATAGTAGAGGGGCGTGTCGAGGGGCCCGAACGCCAAGAGAAGAAGTAGAAAGGTTGTGCAAGAGGATTAATAGTCATCATGTTGAATGAACTAGGAGGCCTAATAAGGAGGACGTCCAATTCCTCCAGTCGCACTCCTTCTGCCAGCGTGCGTGCTCCTGGCCCTTCGGCCAGGGGCATTGGTACCGCCGTGCCGCAGCTCGGCATCCATCGGCGACAGAAATCCGTTAATGAGGTTCTCCACGTCACGGCGCAAGGCAGCATCGGGAGGACCTCCGTTAGGCACGTAGGAAGCTTTCTCAGAATTAGCTGCGGCCGCAAGACCAGTACTGGAACGGCTCTTGTGTCTGCTCAGCGTTCTCTCGTTATTCGCAGAGAATGCCCCTTGGTTCCCGTTGGTGAACACCTGATGGGGCCCGGGAGCGGTCGAGGGTCGCTCGCCATTCGCCAATGAACGCTGAGAGTCGTTTGGAAACCCTCCGGGGAGACTTATAGATGGCGGGATCGGCGGCACCGGAGGGATGCCATCAGACCGCAAGTTGTACGACAATGAAGACAGCCGAGCCTGGCCGCCGTTCACAGCAATAGAAGAGGCTTTGGGAGTTTCCATGCCGTCTCCGTTGGCGGACAATCGACCATCCCGAATGGACTGTGGTCTGATTGAGTTGCCATCCGCATCATATTCAGACAACGAAAAGCCACTGACCATGCTTTCACTACTCGAGGAGACAATACTGCCATTTGAAGCATCCAGCCGCCCGCGGAATGGGCTCAACCGGCGAGCATTACCCTCCACATTCACAGAAAGAACCCGTCTCAGTTCGTTGACGCGCACTGGTGACTCTCTGCCCGAGCCGTTAACAGGCGTACCCTGCGAGTCAGGTATGCTCGTGCGTCGGAGATGTTGCAGACCTGCTGCAGCACCGAAGGCGCTCTGATGCACCGAGGTAGCAATGGAATGAGAGCTATTACCGGCGCCATTCAGGGTGGCATAGTTACGCAACCCTAGTGTACCATGTCTTGATCCGTTGATAGACATGGCCTCTGCTTTCTCCTTCTCAGCGGCCGCTAGACAAGCCTCTCTGGACCATGGTGAAAGCATTTGCTCTTTGATAGATGAAGGCAAATTGCACTTGAAAGAATTAGCTGTCGCGGCTCCATGTCCCAGGACGGGAAGAGCATAGTTGTGTCCGGGCGATGCCGGAGGGCTTTGAGCAGGTGAGGCCATGGAGGAGTTATACACCTCCTCAATTCTATTGACAAGTTCCTCAATACCGGCCTTGAAAGGGATAAGCTGGCCTTGGGCCATGGCATCGCCGTTGCTTGGAGACTTCTCACTCGATTCGATGATATCGTGGATACGAATGGCAGGCATACGCACCCTGTCGAGCCAAAGGCCATTTTTCTTCCGCCTGTCAATCTCTATTCTAATTTCGCTGCCAACTCTGTAGCTTTCCAACTCAAATTTTTCGCACATGGCCCACAGATATCCATAAACCAAGCTTCCGACGTTGACCTTGGCAGTTGGAGAACGCAATGACTGCACCGATTCTAGATCCTCTTGAAGCTTTAGGACCATGGGCAGGCCAAATCTGACGGCATTGACCCCGAGTCGTTCCACAAGGCTTGTGAGCAGGAGATGAAGTAAAAGAATCTCGGATTCGTCTGTAGGGCAGTCGAGCGCAATATCGTATATGGTCAAGTGGAACAGTCGGAGAAAGTTCAGCTGAGCCGCTATGATGACTTTCTCCCTCTGACTCACGTTAAAGGGTCGCTTGTCAGCCTTCTCAGTGACTTCCGTCATTTCACGTCTTGGGAGAGTGCTTGTTCCCTTCACTGGCCCGGATCTAGCCCTGATATCATCCTGAGTCGTTTCCAACGTCAACCATGTGAGGAAGGCATCGATATACGCGTGGCGAATATCCCTGTCCGGTTCAAGCAAAAGCCACTGTGTTCCTTCCCAGGCGTGTATGCCCACAGGGTTCCTAGTCTCCACTCCAGCGGCAGTGAGTCTATTCGAATTGGCTACTGAGAGAATATCCTTGATTGCCTTAAGCGCTGTCACTTTTGCAATAGGTAGCGAGAAGGCCGCGGCATTCACCTCACTAGGGAACCCAGCTGAATTAGTACTACCCTCCGTATTGTCTGGCTGATTCGGAAAGGCCGCGGCAGGGGAGAGTTTATTGTCGATGGACGGCTTCAGGCGAGTCAGGATCGTCCTGACCATATCGACAACCTGATCACCGTAGTAAATATGTGTCGTGAGATCTCCGATGGTCCTCTGAAGTAGCGCAAGCGCCTCCAATTTCTCAGCGGACAGGACCGCGTTGTGATCGTTCAACTTCTCGTCCAGTCCTTCTTCCGCAGACTTCGCGCTGGCTGGGTGCGATAACAGGGTCGACATGGATTGCATCAGACCCAACAGAATGTCAATAACACTAAGACCGATCATGTTTACAGGGGATTTGAGCAACCAGTCGATCAAGTATATCAGGACGTACGAGCGTTGCAGGGTTGCTTCTGTGGGCTGGACATCAAGCAACATCTCCATTGCCGAAACCAAGATGATGAAACGGACTTGAACGGGACACCACTTGGCGACGAGTTCCACTAAAGACGTAGCCCAGCCGCCCATCGAATCCATATGCATAGGTTTATTGCCATCTTCGGATAATGGTCCGTTGCTCAGGATGAATTGCAGCACCACTTTTGTAGTAAGGCGGATCTGACCACGGCTACTTCCGGTCACGACTATACGTTCCAAGCAACGGAGAGCAAGCAAACGCATGTCCATTTCCGCCTGCCTGTCAACGTCGGCCGCCGACTGTGACGCCAATGCAGGATCGCCAACCACTGCGTCAACTGTCTCCACGGTTGCAGTACTAACCCTCCGTCGTCGACCAAGCGCCGGCTCGTTCTTCTCCGGCTCGTGCAGCCGGAGCTCGAGGGACACCAGCAGGCTCTCGTCACCATTGTAAAGACATTCCAGAATGACCGGGAGAAGGATCCTCAGTGATTCTCCGCCATCCGCTGCGAGACCTGCTTCGGAACTAACCACGCCTTTGATCGCTCGCAATCCCGCAGTCCTCCAACGTGTTACCATCGGACCACTCGGTGCGGCCTTCAATTGAGAAACGGACTTGGTCTGGTCTGCGAAATCTGCATATGTCCGCACGATTTCCCGGTACTGACTGGCGAACCCCTGTTCAGCAGATAGCGCGGCCATATCCTGATGCTGACAGAACGTCTCGAACGTTGATATCGACTCTTCAACCATGGAAAGATCTCCAGAGCGTAGGACGGTTTCGAGGACGGTCATCACAGATCGGGCATAAATAGGAAGATCGCGGGGGACTTTCTCGATGAGCGCCGTGAGGATTTGGAGCGTTACCTGTACATTCCTATGTAGAATACCAAAATCAGTCCGGGGAAATTGCGACCGCGATGGTTAACTACTGCCAGCAGGCTCGCTTTAGACTCACCCTAACTTGTTCCGCCAGACATCCCGAGCTGCCCTTTTCTCCAGAAAGGCGCCGACCTTGGTCAGTTTGCTCCGGCGCGTGCTCACATAGTATAGTAGATAAGAGAGTTCACTAGAATTTGGTTTCACATCCTGGACTCCTTTCTGATATTGTGGGTAGCATTTGAGGACCAAAACCTGGTGTTTAGGCCGACATGATTGGCGCACGCTCTCCATTGAAAGAGATGGCCGCAAAATTGAATTATGAGGTACTTGTATCGCAATACGAGGGACTTGTTGACCGGCTGTCAACAACGCCGTACGCGATCTGAAGGAGCGAAAACAGTGGCCACTACCTAGAGATGGAAGTTCCAAGTAGAGCTGGATAAGTAATGTGCTGTCTTTTATGTCATGGATATGCAAATCGGCCGATCAGGGATGGACGAGGTCACTGCACTGCTCTCCGCACAAGCTTACAGAAACCAGTGGGAAGATTGGCAGAAGGGCCGGAGCAGAGAGAAAGGAGATTTGGTCGGTACAAACACCAAACGCGGGGTTAATCCATCGGAGTGTGCATTCAGAAATTTTGCTTGTGCCTAGGAGCCCGTCTGCACAAGAGATGATGAGAGGAGTGTGAGATCCGAGTGTTGGAGAATGACGCAGGAGGAATGAGATTGGACTTGTGTGATTTTCCAGGCTACTTTTGAGAGGTACAGTAGCGTTGGGTCGCGCACGGAGTTAAGGCTGGGGAAAACTGGCAATCTACCCCGTTGGCCGCGCCAGCCTCTCGCAGTGCGGAATCAAGATCAATCGAGGTGAGGTAAGGGATCATAAAATTAATTGAATGTACTGGGATGAGAATAGCATTACATCCTTGTTGATAATACCTTTTGACATTTAATGGCATGCTTTCACCAGGACTGAGCTGATCAGACAGGAGAACTACGTAACTATCGCTGACTGGCTGGTTTGGAAAAGAATGAAGACACTGCAATTCTGGAAACAACGTAAAATCCAAAGATTCAACTGTAGCCTGTTCTTTCTCAACTACATATCTACCTTTCAAGGAGTAAAAGTGTTCTTTGAGTGGTGTCGCAATCTGTACCTGAACCAATGTGCTTGGTCTAGATATATGGAACGGGGATGGAGATCAACAATTGAGCCTAGTCCCGCAACAGCCCCCACATTTGGACCAAGATGAAAGGGGATAGCATTGCGATCCATTTGACAAGCAACATCCTCGGAAAGATGAAGCTTTTGGAGCTTTCTCGCCCCAATCTTCCTTGTAATCAGTATGAAGGACAATTGGGCGAATGCCTCGGTCACACATGATCGTCCGTGATTAAGAACATACATCATCTGCATGTTGCATGAATCTCACCATCATACTGCCGTTGTGGTCCCGATAGTGGAAGGCGAGCTCCGTACCCCACTGTAGATCTTGTGTCTACAATAAAATAGCAAGTTGTGCCCTGGCTTTACTCCATGGGAACACGACAAATAGCGCTGAGCATGCCGCGACACTGCCGTGAGGGCTGTTGGACGGAAGAATCATTTATCGATTGACGCCAGCCCATCATGTCTTTGAAGCGGTATTCTCCTTGTCTTGCTGTGTCCCTTGGTCTCCTTCGTTATGCCCCGTGTCTCCCGCCTCTATGTTCTGTCGACCTTGCCCATCCTCAAGACCGGTCCCCGCTAAAGCTTCGATGACTTGAGGGCGAATGATGTCGCGACGGAAGGCCTCTTCTTGTAGAAGTCGTAATGCTCGTAAAGTCGCGCCAGGATGCGTCAGAAATTGTGCGTATTCGGGTGTTTTCCAGTAAGAGTAGAGGTAGGCAAGGTACGCCGCGAAGGCCTCCGCTTCGGGGTCTGAGGCCTCGGTGCCGGTCTTACCGTCGTCGCCGGATTTGGAGATTCCCAGGAGGTTCGGATAAGTTACTGCCAGGTGGGAAAGATAGTAGGGGTTTGCGAGTGAAGACACGAACTCCAGTTCAAGGGTAAAGCGAGGATTTGTAAGGGAGGGTGTCGGACGTTGCTGGGGTTGAACCGGAGGCTGCTGGTCCATCGTCAGGGAGGAATTGGATCACTGCTGTAAAAACAAAGGTCGGTTGAATCTAAATGGTTCAAGGAGATTCTAAGTAGAAAGCGAGAAGGTCGGGTAGACTCTTGTCCTGAATCTGGAGCATGAGGAAGAGAAGGTGCAAGAGAACTGTTTCAAAAGTTGCCAAGATCTCAGAGAACTGATGATGCGCGCCTCGCCAAAAAGGGGAAAGATACAGTGGCCCACACAAGCTTGATATCAACACTGCTTTGTTCCACTCACTTCCAAACCACAACAGAAACGTACTATGGCAGAAAAAGATTTGAATAATCAACTCTAGAGGCGCCAACTCCAACATACTTATGCACGAGTTATACCTTTGTGATCTTAGCGTGGTCAAGGGAGGAGGCGAGACACCAACAAGCTCAAAAGCCATTACTCTGTGTGCCTGCTGAACATTAATACCCCCAAAGCAATTTACGGGTTACTGTGTTTTCTTTTACAGTCAAGGTCAAAAGAGATAATTTTCCTCTCGATACAATCTATGACTAGCTCATTCTCTCTCCTCTTCATCCGAAGGCCAGATTCAGAGGCTCACAGGCGCAAAATGCGACCGCAAATCATCACATACAATTTGGTTGGAGCTTACACAATAAAGGGATAGCCTTTGTTCCAGATCGTCGTTCATGATCCCCTTGGATCTAAGCTCGCATGCGTCGGGAATATCTCGAACTATATTAAGTACCCGGAGCCATGAGAGAGTTGGGCCTGCACAACACCTCTGATTTGACCTTGAGACCAAAAAACTCCTCGTGAGAATACTGCTCGCTGAAAGATTGCCATTTTGCAGGCTGGAGAGCTTCACATATGTCCATGTCAGATTCCCTGTCAAAGCTGAGATTGAGGGCGAATGGCAGCTTTCGTTGGCAGAAACAAATACGGAGCTTCTATTACTGATGGATTGTCTTTCTGCGTAACTTGCAGTGGAAGCTATTAGTGTGGCCGAATAGGACAGAAGAGCAGGAAACCAGCACAGCATACCGATTAATCCTGGACCTTGAGAACCCATTTTATTCTGTCTGGACCAGCTGAAGGGCCACCAGAAAGGGCGACATCAGTTGCTAGTCACCAACAGTCTTTGAGACCTATCTCAATGGAACAGCTCGCCCTCTTGACGTCAAGTAGTGAGCAAACTATCCTCGGCGTTGTTACAAGACCCTATTGCCTTGTCGCCCGGTTATCGGCGTTCCAGCTTTTCGATTCTGGACTCAACCGAGCCAGATCTAGCTAGAACTTGGTCTTGGATACGAGCAAAGTCGCATATCGACGATACCATGCGTATAGTTTCCCAGCTTGTAATTAAACCACTCATCGATCTCACCATTGTTGCTCTTGGGTCCCTCCACGTGCTCTTGGCATCTCAGCCATCGCCAAGACGCTTTCTCCGCCGGACTGGCTTGGCAACTGGGATTACAGCTTGTGGCCCTGCTACCCAAGCTTCTCAGAGAGCATCTTGCCTGTGCACGTGTGGGGGAAGCTCGTTTCGCATTTGTCGTTGATGGACAATGTCGGTATTGCAAGGAACGCCTCGTTAGCTGCTAAGAAAGTCGGGGCTTGGCTCAATCCTTGGATCTTTTTAATCCCCTGTCTGAAATGGTGCCACCAACAGCGCTCGTGCACGATCTTTGACAACCGAGAGACCCGTACCAGTTCCTGTCGATGGGAAATGCAGTGCGTTTCTCATGTATCATGGAAGGGATGCTCCTTGGCAGCCCTGACTAAGGTTGTATTATAACTTATAAAGGGAGCGATATCCTCGACGGTTGAATCTGTTCTCTCAAAAAGGTTCAATCCTTACTCTTTTGCGACTTTGTCAAAATGAGGTTCCTTTGGGTATCCGGGGTGTCACTTCTTGCCTCGTGCGCCCATGCTCAGACATTTCAACGCTTGGGTGGTTGTCCTACTCTGGGCTGTGTCTTCCCTCCGGATCAGTATGTTTTGACTAAGCATATCGCTTGCCATTGTCTATAAGTGGTGCGGGAATCTAGAGCTGATCACCTGTATTCTCTGTAGGGCGGATTTCCTTCCAGGCCAATATTTCGATATTCGACTGGAGGTTCATTCTCCCGTCAACGGCTCTGAGGCTCGCGCGGGTGTACCCGACCCCGACTTCAAGTTCACTATCGCCAAGAAGGGTAAAAAGCCAGTCCCTGTAACAAAGTACTTTGACATCAAAGAGCCCGAGCTCGAAAGGTGGAACTTCACATGGTATGAAGGTATGGTCGTCACTAGCTGTTGACATAATAGCGCACCTGCTGACTATAGCTAGACCTGTTTGCTCAAGACGCGAACGCGCCTTCGCTTGTGAATGTGACCTCCAAGGCCTACAGAAGAGTTGCACTCTATGAGCCTGGAGAGTACGAGGCCACGTTGACCTACTACGGAAACCAGACAACCACAGCCAACTGGCTTGTCCGGGACCTTTCCAAGAAGCGGCGGGCCAAGAACGTCATCCTTTTCGTTGGCGATGGGATGACCACCAACATGATCACTGCTGCTCGTCTCATCGCTCATCGCAGTATTAACGGCAAGTACATGACCAAGATGCAGATGGATAAATTCCCAGTTCTGGGCCACCAGATGACACACTCGATGGATTCGTTCATCACCGATTCCGCCAACTCTGCGACTGCTCTGTACACTGGGCACAAAACTACTGTCAATGCTCTGAATGTTTACGTCGACTCCTCTAAGGACCCCTTTGATGACCCGAAGTTTGAGAACATTGCTGAGATTTTCCGTCGTCGGTACCCGAGCGGTGGTATCGGAATTGTCTCGACTGCCTTCCTGGCTGACGCGACTCCGGCCGCCCTAGCTGCTCACACCCGTAATCGGGGCGAATATGAGCACGTCATTGACGCTTACTATGAGGGTCTGACCAAGTACGAGTGGACTAACTTGGAGGGTCCTGATGTCATCTTCGGCGCCGGTGCAGAGAACTTTTTGAAGAGCAAGGACGCTTCGCGGGACTACTACAGCCTGTTCGCGCAGAAGGGCTACAGTATCAGCTGGAACAATACCGCCCTCCATGCCGCTCCTAATGACACCAAGGCTCTGGGTGTGTTCCAGATCTCCAACCTGGCCACCTGGCTTGACCGCAACGTCTACCAATCCAATCTCCAGAACAAGACCAACTACCCGGACGGCTCTGGTCGCGATGCCGAGGATCTGCCTGGTCTGAAGGACATGACCCTCAAGGCAATTGACGTGCTGAATGCCCGCCACAGGAAGGACGGCTGGTTCCTCATGTCCGAGGCGGCCAGCATCGACAAGCAGATGCACACTCTGGACTATGATCGGTCTCTGGGTGAGCTCCTGGAGCTGGATGATACCGTTCGCGCGACCATTGAGAAGCTCAAGGCTCTGGGTCAGTTGGACGACACCCTGATCATCGTGACTGCTGATCACGGACACGGATTCGACGTTACTGGCTCCGTTGACACCCAGTATCTCAACGCCCAGAACGAGGACCGTAAGAAGCGTCGGGCCATTGGAGTCTACGAGCAATCTGGTCTGTCCCAGTACACCGTCGCCGGAGCCAACACCCTGCGGTATTCGGAGGGCGTTCACTTCCCCGCTCGCTGGGATCCCAGATACACTCTGCACTCGGGAACGGTAGCCTTCCCCGATCGCCGGGAGAACTACCAGGTCCACAAGGCCGGCCCTCGCACCCCTGCCACCGGCTCCAAGACCAACTACTACGCCAACTACAAGGATGCCGTGACCGGGTTCCTGATCAACGGCACACTGCCAGTGGACGCCAGCCAGGGCGTGCACTCGCTGACGGATGTGCCTGTGTTCGCGCAGGGTCCATGCCAGGAACTGTTTGGCGGAGTGTACAATTCTATTGATATCTTTTTCAATATGGCCGAGTGCCTTGGACTGGCGCAGACCAAGCAACCCAAGGGGAAATAAATGCCCAGGTTGAGCTTAAACGACTCTGACTTACTTCCTTATCTTTTAAGGAGAGATTCGGCTTCTTCAGATGTATTTATTTTGGCGTATTTTGACTTGACCTAGAGCTCTGACACTCTTCGTCGGGTGTAAACTGCTATCTCACATTCAGACGGAAAGGGGAAAAAAAAAAATGATGTAACAATGAATACTAAACCCTGATATTTGACAAGTTCCTCTTGAGTATTCCTAATTTCTAATTTCAGGATGGTTTTCCCCGGAGAGCCGTCCCTGACGTATGAGCAGCACGATAGGAATGGATCCTTGCATCAGCGCAGGGTCGAAAATCGGGACCGTTACTACGTAATTCCCAAACATTCCATGTCAGTACCTTAGAGTAAACTATCTACCCCTCGGTACAGATGGTAGGAAGTTTTATCGCTATCAACTCAGCTCCGATGACGGAGTACAGTGACATCTGGTACAGAGGAGGATAAGGGTCACACCCCTGGATTGGTTGTCCACATGCCTTGGTATTGAGCGCGTGGCATTCCTGGCGGAAGGCTACCGGCGATGGAGTTGCTGGTATGTAGCTCACGCCAACTTTTCTTTTCTGTCCCTGTCAATTTTACAGGTTTATGTTGACCGAAAGATTTTGAAGATGTCATGGAACGATAGTTACGACCTCTTGGTGCTTGACTTCTGCAGTGTGGTCAACTAAGTGACTAGTGAGGGGACTAATACTCTGGGGTACGGCAGAGTGGAGTCAAGTCAGGAGGAGTACGTACTTAGGAGTAGCTAAGTTGACATTGGCATGAGGGCATGGTTGGATAAGGGAGTAGAAACTCAGGAGATATTCATTGATGAATCTGATACTGGATTATTATTTACTACAGGGGTTCGATAACTGGATATAACTTAGAGTGTGCTCTAGCTATCTAATACTGATCATAATATGAATCAAGTCCTGCCCTCGATCCGCGGTTAATCTGTGTTGTCCCTGGTCTCCAAGTAGAATCTCCCAGTCCCTTTTTGTCATATGGCTTCTTATTCAAATATTAACTATTGCG